GAGGCTGAGGGGAGCCCTCATCGCTCTCTGCAACGGCCTGAAAGGAGGCTGGAGCCGGGGGGGGCGGTCTCTTCTCCCCAGGAACAAGCGATGGGACGAGAGGGAACGGCCTCAAGCTGCGCCAGGGCAGGTTTGGGTTGGGTATTAGGGAAAGTTCCTTCCCCGAAAGGGCTGTCAGGCCCTGGCCCAGGCTGCCCAGGGCAGGGGCTGAGTCCCCACCCCTGGAGGGATTGAAAAGCCGGGGAGATGTGGTGCTTGGGGACATGGTTTAGTGGTGGCCTTGGCAGCGCTGGGTTATGGTTGGACTCGAGGATCTCAAAGCTCTTGTCCAACCCAAACCATTCTGTGATTCTGTGACCGTCCAGGAGCAGAACGGTGTCCGCAGGCACAGACGCGGAGCAGGGGGCTGACACCGAGCGTGTGGGACCCTTCCCCATCCGGAGCCTGAAGCGCATCTGGGCAGTGACAGAAACTCTCCCTAAACCTGCTTGGCTGCGAAAAGCATCGTGTTTGCCATTTTACTGGTCACACCGAGCCAAAGCCGTGGTCGTAGACACTTCAGCAGCATTTTAAAATCTGAGCTGCCGAGGCGGCGATCCCCCGTGCGACCCCGATGGGCTGCTGGAGCGCGGCAGCGTTGGCCGTCGCAGAGCCGTACGCACCAGCTGCTGCCTTATAAACTTGGCCTCATGGAGGATTTGGAAAACTGTTCTAGTTTTACAAGAAAAATTCCACTGTTTCTATAAAAGGAAACCACATGAGGATGTCTGGAATCAGAGGAGCCTTTGAAACAAAACTTCTGAGTGGGTGTTTATGTTTCACAGCGGATTAAGTTATCAGCCCCATGCAGAGCGCGGCGCGGGTGATAAATGGCCGTGGGAGAGCGGAGGCCGGTGCTTCCTCTTGCCCTGAGGAGTGACAAAAAGGGGCAGCAGCCGGGGCAGAGCTGGCGGCGCTGACGAACCTGCTTCTGCTGAAGGAGAGGCGAGAGGAAAGCGAGGGCGAAGGAAATGGCTGAGGTGGCTGGATAAACCCGATAGCGCAGCGGGGCTGCTCGAGCCTGCGGAGGTTGCGGAGCCTGCTGTGGCGGGGGGGTCTGGTCCTGCAGGTTTTGTGCTGCTCCATCCAGAAATGGAGTGGGCTGGGGCTGCACAGAGCAGCAAATCGTGCTGTACGGCGCAGCAGGTTAACTGTTCGGAGCCTCTGCGCGCAAGCAGCCTGAGCAGACGCACGATGGGGTGGTCTGTGTCTTCAGTGGCTCCCGGACCAGCAGTGTGACCCCTGTCGTGTCCTACGCTGTCATAGAATAGAATCACAGAATCATGGAATCGTTTAGGTTGGAAAAGACCTTTGAGATCCTCGAGTCCAACCATAACCCAGCGCTGCCAAGGCCACCACTAAACCATGTCCCCAGGCACCACATCTCCCCGGCTTTTCAGTCCCTCCAGGGGTGGGGACTCTTTGAGGGGAACTTTCCCTAATACCCAACCCAAACCTGCCCTGGCGCAGCTTGAGGCCGTTCCCTCTCGTCCCATCGCTTGTTCCTGGGGAGAAGAGACCGACCCCCCCGGCTCCAGCCTCCTTTCAGGCAGTTGCAGAGAGCGATGAGGGCTCCGCTGTCCCTCAGCAGCTCGCCCTTGCCTTCGGGCACGACGGGCACAGGCGTCCTTTCCAGACATATCCCAGAATGCTCACCCGCAGGAGCTTTTCCGTGCCCTGTTTTGGCGTGTCCCACCAGGGACAGGATGAGAGAATTCGGCACTGTTGGACGTGCCGAGCTGTGTTATTTCTGTTGGGGAAGAGCGCGGCGATGCCGTTATCATGACAGCGAGGGTGAACCAGACAAACCTCTCTCAGTCTGTTTTTCAAGGTGCCAATCTTCGTGTTCCCAGGGGATATGTGGTCTGGTGGTGGCAAGAATTGGAGCGATCCTCCCCATGCCGGAGCCTGAGACAGACCTGGCCGTCGGGATAACCCGGTTCTCTGCAGGAGGTGGCAGCAGCTCCGCAGCCTCTGAAGGGCCAGCACTTTTAACGGAGGAGGCTGGAGATACCGAAATGCTCTGCAAAAGCAGCTGCTCACAATATTCCCGAAGGTGCTTTGGGCACATCTCCGGTTTTCCATACAGTGAGGCTTACTCACAGAGACTCGCTTCTGCGTCGTTGGCCCGCAGTGAGGTTTTGCCTCTGAACACATCGCTCTCCTCTTGACCCCGCTTGGGACTTAGCAGAGCTCCTTCACCTTCCCGACGACTTCTCCCCCGAAGCTGAAGCCTCCCAGCCTGCTGTTCCTCGCGTGGAAGCTGCTCCGGCCGATCCCTTTTGGGAGAAGGGGCCCCGAAGCGCTTGCCCTGCTGAAGGATTGGGTGAGCACAGAGCGAAACGGTGGTGCAGGGACATTCTTGTTCTCCTCTGCCGCGGGTGACCCCTGGCATCTGCGTTGGTTTCTGACCTCCTCTCATCTTTTCTGCCTTTGGGCTGTCTCCGAGGCATGCCCTGACTGCTGCTCGCCGATTAAGAAGGGGCAGGCAGCAGCCGGACGTTTCCTCAGGATTTTGCCGGCTGACCTAGGCGTGGATGTGCACGGGGGCTCTGACAGCATGATCAACCAGAGAACGAACACGCTGCGTGGCCTCGCGCGAATACGCGTGCCACCCTCTGCCCTCGCAGGAGGTCTCCCTGCAGAGAAAGCGCTCGTGGATGTCTCGGGAGACCAGCTTCACGTCCGCCAGCTGCCCCGGGGCCTCTCACCGGTGAGTCAGAGGCCGGTGCCATCGGCTGGCAGCGTGCCTGCCTGTGCCCGGCAGCGGGCAGTTCCTGTCCCAGCGGCCACCTCCCGGAGCAGAGGGGTTTATCGGATGTGGCATTTCACAATAACCCCCTGCGAGCCTGCCGTGGCCTGGAGCCGTCGTCCCGCGTTCCCTTCGCTGTCGCAGCGAGGGCTGCCGTCGGAGCAGGCTGGAGGGGAAAAACGCGTTTTGAAGATTTTAGTTACGAAGGGGCTGGATTGTGGTGCAACTTGTGAAAAGCAAACACAAGGCCTGGACGCGTCTGGAAAGTTTCAAACGTGTTTCCACAACTCTGCTGTGTTTCTGGTGAGACCTTTGCTGTCCTATTTCTTAGCGAAAGACCTGTTTCTTGTTTATGAGAAAAAATCGTTTGCTGTCATCCCCCTCCAAGAGTAAAGCAGCCTCCTGGAAACCTTGTACCCGCCAAGCAACAGAAACAGGGTGATTTGTCCTGTCCTACCGAACATCTCGTCTTCCTAAGCCACCCCTTTATACAGAGCCTCTTTAGACCCGAGTGCCTGCGCTTTGCTCCTGCTCGGCATGAAACAGGGCTGCTTCTCCTTTGCCTTCATCACCTTGCCGCGTACGTCAGGTGCTTTTAAAGCACAGGGGCGTGAAGCTGAGCTTTACCGTCTCCTTTAACGCCGTCCTTCGGAGCCGATCCCTCCTCTCGCGGTGCGGCGCGGTTGCTGCGGTTGTCAGCTCTCCCCCTTCGGAGGAGGGTTTGAATCGCTCCAGCTGGTGCCTTCACACCAGATGCAGTTTTCTTCCGCCTGTTCCATAACTGCAGTCAAAACCCTGGTAATCAAAAGAATAACAAAACACACAATGGTCCCGTAAACTCCCTCATCCGCCAGCTGTTTCTTTCTTTTAAGAGAAAATCTTCCATTACTCAGGCCTTTTATGAGTTTATGCTTCTTTTTGGGGCCCGGATTCAGTGTTTCACCAAAGGGATGTTTCCTTTTAAGGCATAGAGGGCTGCTTTGGGAAGGGCAGCCACTAAATCACCCGAGCTGAGCAGCGCCCGTGCTGCTGGAGAAAACGGGATAAGGGCTTTTAGAAGCCTGACCTTCCTCGCCCCGCAAGAGCAGCTTTCCCCTTGGGCTGCCCCGGGCTGTAGCCTCTCACTTTGCACCCGCAGCTCCTCCGTTTTACAGCACAGACCGTTGTCCCCGCTGCAGGATAACCCCTGGGCGCGGGCGCTGCTAAACCTGCCCCTTCTCTCTCTCTCCTTTGGACACGAAAAGGACCTGCAGAGCCTCGCGGTTGCATCTCGGTAGCTTCGGGAGAGTGCCTGTGCGCCCCGGGCTGCCTGCGGCCTGCCGCAGCCCCCGTCGCAGCTTCCCCGGGGTGTCTTCACCTCGGTCCCGCACGCTGGGTTCATGCCACAGCTCCTGCCCGCTGACGGGGCGTCCCGCGGCCGTACTGGCGAAGCCTGGTGCCCCAGGCTGGCTCAGTTTTGCCTCAGGCGCCCGGGGTGGATTGGGAGCCCGCGTCAGCATCATTTCCGCCCTCTCTGCCGTCCTTTGGTTTTCTTCCCTCTCCTGCTGTGCCTTTTTGTAGCCGTTCGGTTCGCAGGGAGAACAATAACTCAGCTTTCTTTCTGCCTTCTATTTCTTCTCGCAGGTCTGGTTTCTCTTTATCAGATTTTTTCCTGTCCTGACAGGCAGCCTCGAGGCAGGTACCCAACATTTTGCAAAGAACTCCTTTTCCTTTACCCTCTTTTACATGAGCCCTGGCCACCCGCAGTTGTTTTCCCACAGCCTCCCAGTCACACCAGTTATCACGAGCCTGTTTATCTGAGAATGTGGGAGGTGAACTTGTTCCGTTTTTTTGTGATCAGTGATGCTACTTGCCATCCTGCCGGCTACGCCCGTTTGTCACGGATGAGCGGCTGGGTCGCTCAAAGAATTACCGTCAAGGATATTTGCAAAACGTGATTTTAATGGAAATTTATAGAAGTGGGATGGAACCCAGTCAAAGTTACCTGTTAAAAATTCCCCTCGAGCCAAGTGAAACGCTCACTTCAGATGATTGTCTCAAGGGTGAAGGTCGGGCCTCAAGGAGCGAGGGGCCCCGGAGTTCAGCCCCGGCCCTGTCGCCAGGCCGCTGAGCTTCGCAAACTGAAGAGCTGGCATCCCCGTGAGGCGTCCCGCTCCAAGGGAGGCAACTGGTACCGCTCTTTATAGGGTCGCGAGATGACTAACTTGGGGCATCAGTAAATTTCCATCCTGGCCACAATCGAGTCGGTAATTGCTGGAGGTCTCAAAAATTCCAGCGACGCTGGTACAGATCCACCCATACCGATCCGCCCGTTGCCACCCAGACAGGATTCGTTCCAAGGCTTTCACGGGGCGACTGGTTGTTCCTGGTGCGGTCGGCGCTGCTCCCACCTTGGCCACGCAAGAGTTCCTGGTACGTCAGGGGACGTTCAACCGCCAAACTCGTTACACAAAGGCCAAGTCTTGACGGGAATTCCTGAGATTGTAAAGCGGTGCAGGAGCGAGCGGGAAGATGCGCCACCACGCATTTGTCACTAGCAGAGACTTTGTGTCATCCGTGATAACCAGATTGTTTGACCGATGGAGCGCAAGGGTGCTCTGCCGTTCCCAGGGGATGCCGCCCGGCACTGCTGCTCGCAGCGGCTGCCCACACACTGTCTTCGGCAGCGCCTTCCCGTAGCTTTGTCCACGCTGTTTCGCTGAAGTAACGCTTACAGCTGGGGAAACTCCGTCACGAATTTTGGAGGGCAGTTTCTTCACGGGCACGTGAGATGGAACCTTAATCACCCTCTGCCCCCTGCGCATTTATCCGTGTCACCGAGGGTTTTTGTCACCGTTTCTCCTGTGTCTTTTCAGGGTCTTCCCTGAGTGTGACGGGATAGCCAAGAGCCGCTTCTTTCCCGCTGTCCAAGTCTGGGGTTTTTCTTCCTCCGGGCTTTGCAGCCCCCAGAGCGAGCCCTTCTACTTTTGCGCAGGCCCTTCCGTCTGGCGAGGTGTCCTTGCGACATCAGCGCCTGGCTGATGCGTCAGGATCGCTCCCGCGACGCGTCCAGCGCCGCGGGGCCCCCGGCTCTGCCTCGCGGCGGGCACCTGCGCCGAGCGGGTGACGCAGTGGCCTGTGACATCTCCGGCGCGCTCCCGGCAGGAGGGGGTGGCACATCCGTGTGAGCGCGTGGATGCGATGCTCTGTGGCCTCCCTCCAAGATGTGCCCTGCGTTCCCTTATTGGCATTCACGTCACGAAGTCTCATCTTCTGGGGGAAGCTAATTACACAGAGGTTAATTGAGATCTCGCCAGAGCGGGAGGCAGGGAGGTGTGATCTTTGGCCAAAAATACCCGACAAAGAGTTTTGAAACAACTGAGCGATTTTTCTTTCAATTGATCTATTTTGGTTGCTGGTTGCGACACTGTCCTCCTCTTCTTCTTCTCTGGCACCCCACGTGAAGCGGGCACACGGCTCGTAGCCCTGCGTGAGGCGTGGTTTTCTCTGTCCCGAGAAGAGGGACGAGGTACCGTAGGCGTTGCCGTCCCGTACGTCTTCCTTGCTGCCGCGGCCGGTCCCACAGAGCGTTGTCCCCTGCCACGGTGATGGAGGTGCTGCCTGGGGTTTTTTTTCCCCACAGATCAGGAGACGTCGGTACCGGGGAGTCCTAGTGGGTGGTGTTCCTGGGAGGAGGTGTTGATGACGTTGATGTTGATGTTGACATTGACGACGTTGATGATGGAGAAACAGTGTTGGTGCTGCCAGCATCCCTGGGCACCAGCAGCTTTGGTAACTGGGTTTTCTTAGGGAAAGCTGGAAGCTCGCTGTGGGAAGGCCTCCCCGCGCCCCGCTGGGTCCGGTAGCAGAGAGCTGTGCAGTGTCCCCAGTAAACGGGAGGGGTACTGCTGGGGAAAGCTAACGGTGGAATGCAGGGACCGTTTACCAACGGCAACGTCACCGTCCATCTTCCATCCCCTCTGGGAATATTTGACCGGTCTTGCTAGTTTTTGTGTGACGGCGGTTGCTTTGTGCTGCAGCTGCCGTAGGGACGCAGGCGCACGCCTCGGCCTGTTGCGGCTGCCTGGGGAGGTGTGGGATCCGCGAGGGCCCTGAGGACGCGAACTGGCGTGCGGACACCGGGGTCGTGCGCTGGAGAGGGTCCGTGCATCGCCTGCTGTCTCAAAGTAAATGCGAGCGTCCTTTCAGCATCTCCTCAGCAGGCCGCTGCTGCCGTCGCCCTGCTCCGTCCTGCGCAGGATGCGACCCTGCCTCGGTATCTGACAGACCAGCGTGGCTCCAGCTCCTCCCTGAGCTCGGCAGCCTGGCCTGCCCCGGTCAGGATGGATTTCTCCCACCGCCGCTGCAGGCACCAGCCTGGTGACGGTCTGGTTTTTCAGCGTATTGTAAAATCGGAGGAAATATCCTTTCCAGACATTTCCAGCCTGCGGGTCCTCTGGGTGACAAACGCTCTGCAAAATGGCTGCCCAGAGACCTGGCTCCGCGCGCACCAGGTGATGCCTTTGGGCGGGCCACCGCCAGCCTCTCCTTTTCCTTCAGTGCTTGGTTCACAGTGGAGTAATTGCCGTAATTCTTAGCACTAAGAAAGTGTAGACCCAGAAGTCTGAGTCCTTAAGGGTATTAAGAAGAGGATGATGGACACTCTGCAGCATCTTAAACTCCTCCAGCTCTTCCAGCTCTGGTCTCATTCCAGAAATATAATTGGGAAAATGTCTCCTGGCCTCATGTATTCATTCCAAATGGCAAAGGAAGAAAAAAGCGAGTTTTGGACTTTTCATGATTTTTTGAGTCATGAAGCACAAGCGAGCGTTCGTGTCCGAGCGAGCCCCCCTTCGCGCTCCCGCGCTCCCTGGCCCCTCCGCGCGTGACCGGCTCTCGGCCTGGTTACCGGCGGCTGAACCACGTGTATGCCCGGCACGTTGCGGGACGGCGGCACAACTAGGGCATCCCAAAAAAAGCCACCTGGGGCCACGGCGCGTGTCGCGCTCGGAGGTGGCACAGAAAGCGGCGAGAGGGGAAGCGTCTGTGTAATAACCGGCACAAATCACCAGCGGCCCCCCCGAGCGCCGGCCTGGAAACGCTCCTGCCGTGCCGCTGCGGTGCTGAGCACCGGCTTCTCCTGGTCCGGCTGCCCCAGTTCCTCCCGAAGCTTTCTCGCCCTGCCTAACAGCTCCAGAGCAGGGGGTCACAAGCAGATGGGGAGACATGAGGCTGCCTGCGAAACCGAGGGGGGGTCGCTCCTTCTCGGTGACATCATACAAGTGTGAATGCTTGCAATATGTCTCTTTATGCTTGATGCAATCCTTCTGGCTGCTGGGTCTTGAATTCCTCGTACCCCCAGTGCACTGAAGCAGGGCTAGAAACTGAGAAAAATAAAAATCCCCAATTCACGCCTTCGGGATGCCGGAGTGGAGACGCGTGGAGGTCGGCAGGGGTGGTGCGGGTGACGGCTGGAGGACCAGGGTTTCCAGGCCATAGCGCATCTGCCAGCCCCCAGGAAGCTCCCGTTCCCCCGGGAGCGGAGCGCGGGGTGGCTGGTGTGAAGTAGGGCAGCATATGGACCGCGGACCCGCCGGGAGCCACTGCGGTTCCCTACGCGGTGGTGGTGCGGCGTGCTGCCATCCCGGGCGAGCACGGCTGTTGTAACCGGCGCCCCGCTGTTCAATGGTCGATGGGGACTCCGGACCCCTACAGGGCCGTGTGCTGTGCATGGCTACAGGATGACGGTGGGGGTACTGCCGGTTGTCACTGAGTGTCTCCTCCGGGTGTCCCTGCAAGGGGCTGCCTGTCCGGGTCTCTCTGAGCACCCGTCTGTGGGCGAGGAGGTCTCAGGTGTGCTGGGGGTCAGTGCCTGTCCCCGCTCCACTCGCTGCTGCCCACCCACAGTCCTCCCCCGGCTCCCTCGGGAATGCCGTGCTCTGTCCTGGAGGTCCCTTCGTCCAGCGCTGGCTTGTGTTTGCGGTGGGCTCGGCCCTCTGGCCTCGGGAGATGCTCCTCTGCTCCAGCAGCACCGAACGGGGGCTCGTCTGCCTGTCTGTCTGTCCCTGCCCTGGTCAGTGTGTCCAGCCCCACCACGCTGCTCTGCCGACCCGGGCATCCAGAGGGTCCCGGGCACCGTGGGGAGGGGGCCGTGCCCAGGACCCCCGCGGCAGAGGCAGGCGGGGGCAAGGGGGGGACCCCGCCCCCCCCGCGCACCCCCCAGCCGGTGCCAAGCGTGGGCAGCGCCGGGCACCGGGCACCGTGGGCCAGGGCTCTGCGGCAGCGTCGGCACGGCGCCCGTGGGGAGCAGCGTGCTGAGGCGCATCCCTCGGGGGGAACCCAAACCCCCCATGCCCCCCGGGACTTGTCGGGGCAGGAGGAGCCAGGTGAGGGGGCCCTGGCCACCCTGGTGGCCGGTGGGTGGCCGGACCCGGCGGGGGCTGGCGAGGGTCCCTGTGCCGCTGCCAGGGCCCAGCCCTGGGGGGTCTGCAGCCAGTGCTCTGGGCTGTGCGAGCACCGACGT